TCAATTTTGGAGACGCACAGCCTCAATTTTACGTCTTGAACCATTCAAATCACCATGCACCACATCATACGTTACATACCACTGGTACAGTAATCACTCTCGAATCCGGTACTACTTAAAATAAACATCCTGAACCGAACGATACGATCATTTTAGAGAGGTATAACTCCCCGCGTTTTGGCCTCCAAGCCAGCCGCCCGGCATTTTGTGGTTAATGGGGCTGCTCCAATTTCGCTGCGTGACCTGGATACCCGGATGACCGATTTACGGTCCACAATGGCTACAGAGTTTCGTAAACTTATCAACGGTCTGCAATTGGGTACATGTACGTCTGCTACTACCAGCAACAGTACCGCGAGTGAACAGCAATCAGAATAGCGCTCATGGTCGTGGAATGATGGTAAGCTTGATCATGCTGTCCCAAAAGGCCGGGAGTTTCCAGCACGAGCGAATGTTAAAACTATGTGGAACCTCTGATTTTTTTGTGATCGTGGCGCCAAGATTCGTCCATACAGACAGCTAAGTAAGCAGCACGATATTAGTCCAGCTCATCGAAGGAGACACTCACGCGTTAGTATTGTGATGGAGAACTTGGGGCCGCTTGCAAAGGAAACCACCGCACTACCAGCTGGAGTGACTAGAATCTCCGACCTTCAAATCCCCACTGCCGACAAGGTGTTTGATGCTGCCTTCTCAACAATTATGTCAAACCTGTAGACAATGCCTAAAAGAGCGGAGGAATTATCTTGCGGGACGCTTTACAAACGACTGTGTGCCTATCGTAGAAAACAGCAAGAGCGCAAACATGAATAGCTGATTTCGTACCCATAACATCTGATTAATCATAGCATGCGATACAATCGTGATCTGATTTCTATCACAAAGGCCGTCATTATATACATATACATTACGCTCACAAACTCTCATGGAGGCCTGGCTGAAAATTTAGCAAAAGCGAGGCATCATCCAGAATGCTAAAGATTGCCCAGGCATGACACAAAACGATTTGGCGGCATGGGCAAAGATCACCTACCGGTTAAAGCGGCCGCCTGCGCAAACGACTGTTTCTGACATTCTCAAGTGCCCCCCCCCCCCCCCCCAGACATCATAGTCCGCGCTTCGCATTTGGGTTTGTAGGTACATATATGTACACGTAGAAACTTCTTAAACAATATTTAAAATCATAAGTTAGGGTCGAACCACGGTACCGGAAGTGAGAGAGATTGCTGTACTTAAGTAATTACCGGTAGTACCGAGACATCAATTTTTGGTCAAAGTCAAGTCAATTATAAAACCTCATCAAGGTTTTTGTCAATGAAGCCTTTTCATGACATCCCTCCTAAGCAGGCGGTAGATCGTCGTTTAGATCTGTCTCTGGAGGATGTGCCACCCATAAAAATGGGAACGTCGCACTGGTCCACTGGGCCGATTTTTACGAATTGCCACTGGTCGGTGATCGCGTCTGACCTATGACTGCTGCCCTACAGAATCGCCTTGCTGCTTTAGCGCAGCGCTCGGTGGTGAAACGATCGTTCTCCTCGGCGCCACTTTTTAACCGAGGTAGCAGGAGCTCTTCGATGAAGGCCTCGAGAATCATGCAAAACTGACTTAATCTGCTCATGCAACAGCAACCAAGAGGCAGCAGCGCAACAACATTGCGCTCTTGGAGAACGGCGACGAATACGAGTATCTTAAGGACGAAGTCGCTCGTCGCCTTATCGATCGTCTGGAGGTGCGCTATGAGCTACATACACCGTTGATGTTGTACAAAAACGCAGCGTGACCATGACTACCGTGTGGCTGCGTTGCAGGATATCGAGCGCAATTTCTCGTTGGCGCTGGACCTGGGTTGTGGCAGTGGACACCTCTACAAGAACCTGAGCGTCGACGACGGACTGGGAGGTGTTAAGAAGCTCATACAATGCGACCCTGCAGGTGCGCCCTTACTTTAACGCTTTGACGATGACGGGGTTGGCATCTGACACGCTGCATCACAGAGATATTGCTTCTTCGCGATAGCCTGGAGGCAGAAAACACCACCTGTGAGTGAGCGTGCGGGCCACTACCGAGAGAGATGGGCGTGCTCGTTCTGTTGAGCCATTAGTCTAACGTTTATTGCTGGCTCTCGCAGTGGAGACGTCGCGTCTGGTGATCGACGAGGAGTTCCTGCCGTTCCCGAAGCAGCATTTCGACCTTGTAATGAGCTCTCTCGCCCTGCACTGGGTAAACGACCTCGAGAGCACATTCCGCCAGGTACTGGATACGCTAAAACCTGACGGCGCGTTTATCGGCGCGGTACTGGGAGGAGACTCGCTTCAGGAACTACGGTACATACGTGACTGGAACGATCTGCCCAAAAATCTCCTACTGACACTGCATTCGTAATAGGAGCGCCTTTATCCTCGGTGATCAAGAGCGTCAGGGCGGCATCTCGCCGCATATCTCTCCGTTCATGAACGTCGCGGACGCCGGCAATCTCCTGTCGGCTACCGGATTCAACCTGTGCACAGGTGCAGTTAACCCCTCTGAGCTTCCACATGCAACATCACTAATATAAACTTCTCCTATTGCCTGCAGTGGACACGGATTACATCCAGGTAGACTACCCGAATGCCTTCGTGCTCATGGAGCATCTACGTGGCATGGGTGAGAACCACGCGGTGAACTCACGAGGAGCGCCGGCCACGCGCGACTCTTTACTGGCCGCTGCATCCATCTATCAGTCCATGTTCGGCCAGGCGGACGGAACGGTGCCCGCCACGTTCCAAGTCATCTATCTCATTGGCTGGTCACCACATGAGTCGCAGCAGAAGCCACTGCGTCGCGGTTCGGCGCAGCACTCACTCAAGGAGCTTGGCCACGACTAAGTCTTTGGGGTTAAGCGGCGAATAGAAAACTGTTATTGGGAGACAGCTCAGTCTCTACATGTGCATAGTAGACGAAACTTTTTCAGTTGTGGTTGGAAGTTCTTCCTGGAAGACCTGGCGGAAACCAACGGACGATTCGGCACTTTAAAAGTCCATTTACTACTACTCAATTTACCTCAATGTGCAGACGTCGCGGTGGCTGATCGCCCACACTCAGACCTAGATACACGAGCGGCGGTCCATGCTCGGACCCCTGTTGGAACTCGTCCTTCATTTTGATGCAAGCATTCACCGCAATGTTGTTGCGGACCGCGGTCGACTTAGAAATATTACTACCACTCTTTCAAGCGCCTATTTTCAGCGCCGGGATGTAGCATTATTAATATCGTTTGTCAGGCACAGTACATGTAAATGAACTCTGCAAAAAGCAGAGGACCAACCATGATGATGACATTGTCCACCAGTGCTAGAGAACAGAAAGAGGACGCTCTGTGTGCTACTTCGAAGTACTTTTCAATTCAACTCGCCATTGTGGCTAATTTCCATTCGACTTCGTAGCGCCTTGTGAAATGCCGGCTTCTTTCCGAGGTCGAGGCTCGCAAAGTTGTAGAACGCACCATGAAGCGGGCAGTACAAGAGGCACGGGGTTGAAAAAAGAGCTCGTCCTTTTGCGCTAGGAAAAAGAGGAACTGCGCTTAGCTGCTCAAAATAATTTGCTTTGAGCTCCTATTAGCACTAGCAAGGAAGCGACTCGAGAAGGCAGCGCTGGAACCAACCGAGACAACCAGAGTGATAAGCAAGGGCTGTGGAATTGAAATTAAGACATCATCTCACAGCTCGAAATAGCAACTTGGAGACCAGCACAAACGAGTTGCAGCAGCAAGTCTCTCGAGGCTCAAAAAGCGGCGAAAGAAACTGGAGCAACGTGATTCTTGCGCGAGGAAGACGCGAGCAAGCAGAAATTGGCCGAGAGTGCCGCCCAGATTGCTTAGCTCTTAGACGAGAAGGAGAAATTGCAAGTGAAAGTACCTCCAAAACCCATTCATTGTGCCCAATTTATTACCTTACACGGCGTCGCCGCTGCTAAAAATCGGTGCAGGTTGTGTCTGGAACTGGAGTTAGCGCAGCTGGATCTGCGTTGCCCGTGGGCCTGTCCAACAGAGTATTACTAGAAGGCCGAATGTCGCCTGAAGATCCATCAAGTATCGCGTCGGTGTTTCGAGTCGCTCCATCAGAAGATGCCGACTTGTCCTGGCCAACACTGACGTCTTCAATCGGTGTCACTGCGGCTGCGTCGGTTTGCTGTCCCGGAGGTGTCCCATCCTGAGTAGCAGAATCTGTACACGAGTACGTGTCGTCCATAATATCCTGCTGCAGTTTAGATACCACTTTGGCGGCCGACGACAGGTAGCTTTGTTCGCCACAACCAGGGGCTTTGCTGTTCCATGTATATCTTTCAGCGTCTTCACTCATCTTCGTGCTAGAGTCCATATTAATTAGGGATGCTGTGTTGGCGGCGACAATCTCAACAGATTTCGCAGCTTTCGCGACAATTTTACTGTCAGGTGTCATACTGATACCTTCACCAGTACCAGTAGGCCCTGCATCAGCAACGTCGATAGTATCGATACGCGAGATAGTGGCTTCGAATGCGCAGCTATATACCGATCCAGGAGCAGCACTTCCGTTGGAAGACGCATTGGCATCAGGATTAGTATCAGCGGTGGTGCTAGAGCTACCGGGTGTTGCTTCGGTGGCCTCGATGCATACCTTACTTGGTACAAATGCGACGGAGCCGTCCGCCTTTCCACGTGATTCATCAGGTAGTAAGGTGACCTCCGAAGTACCACATTTCGGTGCGTTAGCAACAGCATCGCTATTCGCAACAACGTCGGTAATATCGAGTCCTCTATGAGTCCTTGAGCTGACCACTACACCATTTCTTGAATCATTGATTTCACTTGACTTCACTGCATTTCTAGTTCCGTCTTCAATCGATGGCAGCTGCTTTTCTTGTGCTTCAGATGGGTCGCGTACAGTCACGAGACGGACGTTGTTAGCTACGCGAGCATTTGCAATTGACGAATGTGCATCACCAATAATGAAAGAAGCCCCAGAATCAGCTGACTTCTCGTTAGCGGTCTGCCCAGAATCAATCTCATTATCAACTGACATCGAAGACGATAAGGTCGATTCCGCCCAAGCCGAATCTGCTGATGATAGCAAAGTCTTGCGACGACGATCCCCCTTAGCCGTCTGTAGTGCTTTTCTACGCGGTTTACCAGATCGCGTGTAGGTTCTTTTGTGTGTCCGTTGTAGTTCATCATAACGCGAGTTCATATATCGCGTGCGCTTACCTGCAACGCGAACTTCACGCCATTCCTCGTGTTTCTTGAGCTGCCCCTGGTATTTGCGCCAAACCTTAGCAGCCTGGTAGCGCATGAAGTCCCGCTTACAAAAAATAACCACCGTTCTATTCTCTGCTCGTGGAATAGCAAATGCAGCAGGTGTCTGCACCGAAGTAACATTTGCAGCTTTTGGTCCCGACTCCGTGGAGAGATCCTCATTCGACGCTCGTGTGGTTGGTGCTTGTTGTTGATCAGTCGACAGCTTCAAACCCGCTGTAGGTAACTTCGCTCTGGTCCTCTTCCTTGACGAAGCACCATCTCTACCGCTCTTAATTCCCCCCACTGGAATGCTGCGCTCAAATATGCTAGGTGCTGAAGAAAGTCCATTCCCACCATTGACGTGGCCATTAACGAGCGCATGGTGTTCTCTTCTCATTTGAACAACTTCGCGGGTATGTGGCTGGGGACATGTGGCCGCTTCCACGTCTGCTGCCGCCTGCAGCACCGCACTAGTGCTCACGACATGCAGATGGTAAGCCTGGAATGTGCTAGAGGAATGACATATTCCTAGCGTCGGATTCTCCAGTTTCTTCCTGTTGCCTGTTGTTAGCCCTCCAGCGGTAGAAACAACACCCTGATCACTGCCTCGGCTGGCAGAGCTGGTTGCCGATTGGGAGGCGGACGTGGGCGGCAGTGCCGTGGTTGGTCTCGAAATCGTGTTACCAACCGTCTGCTCTAACGCCCGAGCGGCTCGAGACTCCATAAATGCTAGATACATCGGTGTGGGTATCTTATTGACTGGTCCAGACGACCCAATGGGCGCTGGACCTGCACCTTGCCTTGATTGGACCTCTCCTGCAAGCCTGTTACCTGGTGGTGAATGAAGTTTCCTCTCGTTTTGTAGCAGTGGCGTTCCTTGGCGCTTGCTTGCCGTCTTTTTCTTCGGCATCTTGCGATAAGGAGGAGCTCGTTTCTGTTTGCCTCCTCGTGGTCGATTCCTCGAGGAATATATCCTGGCACATCCATCGTCTCCGTTGAGAAGGTCTCGCATACATAAGAGACGCATCGATTGCGATGCAAGCGCAGTTCCTGGAACCACCGCAGTTCCAGTGGGTGGGACTGGCACCTTCGATTGATAGTTGAGCTGTCCCTGCGCCTGCAATCCTACAGGAGATTGAATTCGAGTCTGATCCACGCTTGGGTTGAACTTTGGCTTGACGTTGCGCGTTCCAGCATATCTGGTATTCGAGTCATACGTAGCACCAGTTGAGATAGCAGCAGCACCAGCTGAAGAGCCATCGTTCCTCTGAAAATGCTTCATGTAACCATCCAAGACAAATTCATCAGAGCAGGACTTGGTAGTACTGCGCACCGGTTCTGGCTCTTGACGAATACGCTCTGAACATCCGATGGGGCCATACGGCCGAGGCTGCAGAAGCAGCAATTGCTGAGTTCTCTGCGGGGTCCTATCCGCCTCACCTCCATTAAACAGCATCGGGTCATGTCTTCCCCATTCATGTCTACTCATCAAAAACAAACCGGGATTTCGAGCCTGCAAATGTGATTGTGTTGACTGAGGAACCTGTTGCGCAGCAAATGCAGTTTCACCTCTGCTCATCAGCATCCCTACTTGTAACCTGCCATCGTAACCTGACCCAAAAGAAGGCGTTGGCGTCAAAGCTGTCGATGGTCTGGCAGACAATTGTCCATAGATCCCATTGTAAGCCTGGCCAGGCTGCTGCCTCTGTTCCTGCCTCCGGCCATTGTAAGAGTTAGACGCATATTTTGCAGCCTCGGACGTATACACCTCATCACTCCACCTCGCCTGCTCGAATCCACCGACCCCGAGCAAATGACGCTGCCGGATGCTCTCCATCTGCTGCCTTTGAGCATGTTCCTGTTGCTGGATCTGAGTCTGCATCCTCTGAGCTTGTAGATGCATTTCCCTCTGTTGTTGCTGATGTAGCTGCGCCTGTAGTTCACGCTGTTGCTGCTCGATCTGTTCCTGAATTGCTCGCTGCTGTTGTCTGTGCCAATCGTCGCTCGACGTTGAGGGCATCCCCACAAGCACTGACGTTGCCTCATTGCGCTGCATAGATACGTTGACATTGTGGTGTGTGGTATGAACCGGGTAACCGAAGGTGGAGATACCGTTAAAGGCTCGAGCGTCGTGGTTAATACGGCCCGGATGATACAGACGCCCGGCGTGTTGCTGCTCTTGCTGGGGTGACCGACGGCGCTGGGTCGGTAGCGGCTCCGTTTGGTGGAAGGCACACAGCGCACGTGCCGTCTCCTCATCGGACAAGGACGACATCTCGCCCCACGCTGGGTCCGCCATTACGCCTGCCTTCCCGCCTTGTAATCAATCACCAGCCAAAAGCAACTTGCAAATTTTATTATTGCAATCATTTCAAAACAGTTTTCTTGATTAGAGAACAGTAGTTTTGCTAGACTCTTATTAGAGAACTGTATTTTTTGGAGCTATCCGAGGTTATGTATTGGAGCATCTTTAAATATCCACACGGAAATCTATTATTGGCAAGCCCGAATTTTTGTTCCTCCAGAAACTACAGTTCTCTATTAATACAGTAACTCCACTGGAGTTAAGTATTGGAGCATCTCAAAATATCCACACGGAAATCTATTTTCCTAATCCGAATATTGCTTAGATATTCCTTACTCCAACCCCAGAAATGTGTATTTTTGTATGCCTTGACCCTCATGAAGGAATACCTTAAACGTAGTATAACTGATGGGCTGCGTCTCGCAGCCTGCGAGGCAAATAAAAAAAAAATGAAGGTGCAGTGGTACAAGAATACACGTTTCCACCTCGTCATCCCTGGATTTATGATGCAGGGCGGAGACATCACCCACGGAGCGTTGACAATGAGAAGAGGGCCGAGCACGCTGGTCGAAATAGCACTCCATGAATTGGATGTTGATATTGCGGCCAAGGAAACGGAGCCCGAAGCGCGGCTACATTGGGGACGATGGTCGACGACGAGGTGTGCATCATTGCTGTAGTTGCTAACCCAGGTCGCGTATGTATTGACAGTTGCTAAATGTTGACGACTTCCACACCGGCGATGCAATCGACGGGCAGAGCTCTGTGGTGTTGGAATTCCCACGTGAACTCTAGCTACAAATGTAGTTAGGATGTTCCCACAACAATACGTCTACTAGGATAGTAAACGATCGTTCGGGCGGACCTGAAGACCCCAGTTCTGCCCTTGCACCGGGACAGACTGGACCTTGTAAACTAGTTATATAGGCCAACCAGTAAAAATAAGAACACGCTACTAGCACGAGCAAAGTTAATAGGTGTTAGGAATCCTTGTGGTCCCAACAGCGGAAGGGTACCAGGCACGGGTAAGCCTTTTACGAGGGCACCGAGTGTTCAACACTCGGTTGGAAGAATAAAAGGGAGGCAATTCAAGCACTCCCAGTCGTGCAAATAGACAACAATAAGCCGCCACGTAAAACCTCCCGATAGTAATCGGCCAAAATACACAGTCTCTTGGCCTTGCCGGATGAACCCTCGCTACAGAGCTTCGAGTTCACCGACAGGCATAACACACTCAAACAAGCTTGACCAGACGCTTACCTTGAAGCCGGACGTCGCTCTGTGTGCTTGAGTGGAAATTCTGTTCTCTATTTAAGCTTACCCTTTCGGGTCTATTCCTAATAAGAAGTCCTAATCAAGTATACAAATATCAAGTGAACAATGATCCGTTATGGATCTTCTTGCACGCCAAGCGTCGTCTGCACCGTCGCATGAGTATCTTTAACGGTCCGCGCCCTGTCCCAGACGGTAAACGTGGTTTCCAAAGGTCGCTGAGTATTCCGCGAACTCCACCCAACCGCCACTGAGGGTTCGTACCGTAGATGGTCCGCTGAATGCGAATCCGGCCAGTCCATTATTAATAATAAGGACAGCCTGGATTCAGTGACATAGGGCCGTATCCGATACTTGTTGAAAACTCGGAGGTGACGCCGTCGAGTCTCTTGCACCTTGGAGTCACTGTACATCACATGACCGAGGGTTCGTCGCTTGAACATCTTGGGCGGTGTCGCGTCTTTGTCGACGGGCGATTACCCGCAACTATGGATAAATCACTACACCACAACTGCCCCTGTCGCAATGGAAGCCACGGTACTGGTGCCCGTTGTGACATTTCTTCATTCTCCAATTTGCCATTCAATCACCGCATGCCCAAGCGTTTGAATCGGGGCCGTGAACAGCGCGCTTCAGCGTCTCAATCCTCGCCGACGTCGTGACCGCGAACAGTTGGAGGTACGTCAGCTCATCTTCCTCTTGAGTCATCGGCGCCTTACTCATCACCATGCATTACTCGTCTTGTCTCTCAGGAGGGCGACACCGAGGTTTCGAACGCCCCTCAGCCTACAACACTTCCTCCGACGGCAACGTCATCAGCTGGACCTCCGGCGCTTCCTGCCTCGGACTCTTCACTTCCTGTTGCAGCTCCTGCGACACTCACAGTCGTCGCTGAATCCACGGGGATGGCTCCTACTGGTCCGACTGCGTCTGCTGGTGGCGCTTCACCACTCACCGAGGATTCATTGCGCGCCATGCTGGCTGAAAGTACGGAGGCATCGGTCGATCACATGATGACCTCGATAATTCCGTACTTGACTGCGATGGCTCGTCACCAAGTGCAGCTCAACGTCGCGCCTCCTCTTCACGGCGATGTACGCACTCAACGTCGCCTCGAGACCGCCATGGGCTTCGACAAAGTCCTCGCGGCTGTACAGCCTCTTCTCGATGCGCTGTCGGCGTTGCCCGACCGAGTCATCAGCTTGGAGCGTCAATTGCGGGCTGCCATACCGAGGCTGCTGCCGCCGTACGTTCGGTGGCACCCGAAATCATGGCTCGGGAGAACGCGGAGGCGTACCTCAAGGCTACCAATGCTGAAGTCGAAGCTCTTCGCAAGGACGTCAAGATTCTCCGCGAGTCGAACGCCAAGAACGACGCCATGCTCGCGGGTGCTCAGTCCACCATGGAGCAACATGCAGAGGACCTGAATCGTCTGCACTGCGAAGTCCAAGCGCGGGACGCATTTATTGCCACCTTGAACAAGAAGCTGGCCCGTGAACGCGAAGTGTACAAGGCTTCGATTGGCGCGAACACCGAACAGACTCGGCAACTTCATCTCCTCTTGGTCAAGCTTTCCAAGGGCAAGTACTCTGACAACGACACGCTCAAGGTCCTCGAGAACCAGCAAGACCGTAACACTCGCCTCTTCCAAGTAAACCGCACTCTCCGTGCACACGTGAGTCTGGCAGGGATGGATCCCGAGGTACTGCGTCTGGCTGTTGATGGTACGTCCCTCATGTTGTTCTTTCCACCGTGAGTTCAGCAACAAACGCTCGTTCACAATCCTTCGTGACAGGTCGTACTGCGGGTGAGCTGGACCTGGACGCTCTGGACTTGGACCAAGAGACGCTGGTCGCTCTGCAGCGCATACAGTCTGCCGCCGCGTCTTTGGATGATCCACAAGCTCTTCCTGCAGATTTGGCGAAGACTGCTCATCAAGTGGCTCATGGGAAGCCCCACAAGCGCCTTCGACCAGGTGACAAGGAGTCAGACGACGAGCTGGACGACTCTGACGAAGACAAGGCCCCCATCCTGACGGACAAGGCCAGTACTTCCATGGCAGCTGCTGGTCCCGTTGATGCGCCACCTGCCGACACTCCAACCCCCAAGTGGCACGTCGGTCGCTGTTCAGCCCGAATGCATGAAAGCAAGCGGCCCAGAAGAAGCGCCAGAAGACTCGTCTTCGCTCTCCTGCCAAGTCGCCCCGACGTCATACGAAGACTCGGTCTAAGTCTGTACCGTCTTCTCCTTGCTCATGGTCGCCACCTCCCACGCCAGCGTCATCCTCGACTCCCGCCGTGGTTGACCTCAGCGGTGACCAGAGTGACGTGGACATGGTGGATGTTGGTTCAAGTGGTGTCCCGTCGGCTCAAGAAATTGCCACCAAGTCTTCGGGTAAGACGTGGGCCCTGGGGATCACGACGATATTACCGGTCTTCCTGACGCGCCTTCGCCTCCGCCTCAATGTCCTCCCGACGTGGCCAAGCCGTCAGCGTCGACGATCTCTCCTTCTCCAGCTGACATACGTGCCGCTGAAGAGGCTTTGCGTGAGGCCGAGCAATTTCGACTCATGTTCGGCTCAAGTGAAGAGGGTAATGAATCGGACAATACCGCACGGCTGCTTCGTCGTCTGCGGTGACTTCCAAGACGGTTGAAGTCTCGGGAGTGGTTTCTACAGCAGGGATTGTCCCTGTTGAAACTGCTCCACAGGCCTCCGTGCCTGCAATGCCAGCTCCGACTGTTCCATCAGCTGCCGTGCCAAGTGTTACTTCGCCCGACTTTCCGATGGAGATTGATGACGATGGAAATGGTGATGATGATCGTGGAGGTAACGTGGATGACGATGAACTTTTGGTGGATGATTCTCCTGATGCCCCCAGTGGTGGCGGTGATGTTCCGCCCCCCACCGATCATTCAAGCATACTCGATGACGAAGATGTTGAAGATTCAAACAGGAACTGGAGGTATCTTGGCCCAGCTCGTCCTCCGACTCCTCCTCGGCCGAATCCTTCGCCGATGATGACTTCCCCAATCATAGTCGGTGGTCCACCTCCTCCGTCATCGGCAAGCCTCAAAGCATCACCATCTTCGCCTCCTGCTCCGGCGTCTCCTCGTCCGTTCTCTCGGACTCTCGATGCTGGACATGGGTGCAAGATCACGACCACCTACACTTCGGTGCCGCGTCGTGGTGGCGCACCGTCGGTTCAGCCGTTGCCTCACCGCGTGTTGCCTGGTGCTCGCTCTACGGTGCCGGCCTCGTCCACTTTGCCACTGTGGGTTCTTCCGTACTTGGACATGGAGTTCGCCGACGCAGGTGCCAAGAAGTGTTTCGAACGACTCTTGAGCATGACCCTTCCCGAACCAGCTGGTGAAGTAACCGTCCGTACGACGTTGGAGGGTCTCCAAGCGTGCTTCGACTACTCGAATCCTGATCACCCGTACCAGCAACTCCGACAGCTCTATCCTCTCCAGGCGTGTCTCTTCGACACCGTCGACTTTAATCAAAGCGTCCCTATCTCCAAGCGTGCCCCAATTGAGACCCGTCTCAAGATGATCTGGGCGAATCTTCGGGGTGACGGCGGCAAGCAGGGTGACCTCGGGCTCGCGTTATGGGAGCGTCTCCACCGGCTTCCGTTGGCTGGTATTGAGCGAGGTCTCGTCGAAGAAGCCAAGAAGGTCGGTCACGACAAGGAGCTCTTGAAGGAACTGAGAGCTCTGTTGAA